AAGGGTTAAAATGGTTCCGCGCCGCCCCTTTCCAAATTGTCACAGTAAGTACACCTGTTGTCAAATAAACGTGATCCTATTTAAAAGCTATGTTGCTACAAGTCCCAAGTTTTTTATTCGGCTAATAAGGTCAATCTTCTCATACTAGAGCAAGCAACGTAAAAGATGTTCTTTGCGTAGCGTTACTATCCATAAACCAAATGCCTTACTGGAACTGTTTGATATCATTGCGTTATGGTCATTTATAGTGTTTCTGTATTTGGGTATTCGTAATTGGAAGCATCTTTTTCTAGATTTGAAAAACAATATGCTTTTTGGAAAATCGTATATCCAACCCAACCATCTGACGAACATTTATGAGACAAACTCCCAAATTATCCATTTTTGAGTGACGATCTATCATCTAGTTATGGACCCATTAGTTAGGTTAGGAAGTGCTTTACACCGTAAATTTAAATTTCAATAAGGACAGTATTCGACAGGCAGTTAAACAAAATCGTTTACCAGAAAATTACAAAATGCGCACAAAGAAGTGCTCGGACTGGCGATAGAAAATTCCGGTCAACGTGCCTGAGGCATGTTCTCCAGTGGGTAAACCACCGAAGTTTTACGACTTTTTTATTTCTGTAGGCAACATTTATCATCTGTGAATTATTAGTCTGAAGCGATTGGAGAAAACAAACCGAAAGCATGCTGTCTTGGGTTACGGCCAGCGGCCAGATAGAGAGCTTAGATGTTTTAAAGTTAGGGGGTTAAATCTATAAAAAATTTCGTGCCTTCTATTTGGAGTAAGACTACACTAGTCACGTGCAAATCCGCAAGAAGTTTACCCTTCTGACCAAAATACAATACTTCTCGATGCTAGCTTGGTTTGTTGAAGATGCTAACATTTTCCACGAGCAATGCTTCACGTGAGTTCACATAACCAAAGATTGCATAGATACTCTTAGATAGCACCTAATTAGCCACTGTCTGCTGTTGATGGCATCAAAAAAAACAGTCCCGAAAGATTAGTCTTCACTGATCTTCTTACTTCACTAGTTTTCTGGTTAGCCAAATATATCAACTCAAACCACGCATACATAGAGACACAACTTATTGTGTATGCAAAAATTTGTATGTCACCGGTTAGAATGTGGGCTGTAGCACGGCTATGAATAACTAAGCATTGATAGCTGAAGTCCAGGCTTTCTGGATGCCGTATGACTATGCTGTTGCGACAGGTGAACTATCACGGCGGGCGTTACGTTCGCGATTGTGGTAATGTTCCCCTTGAGGACGTCATCTAATTTCATGCATGAGGGTGTTTTAGAAATTCATTGCTAGGTATTCGAAGTTTCCAGTCCAGCTTGTTTGATTTGGATTGGCAGTGAGACAAAACCAAAAGTAAGATTGGCCGCTTGCGGGTGTTGCAGTATCGTGTATATACAGAGATGAAGCTGAAACACTACCGGCAGAAATATGCACACCTGTTTGTGGACTTTGATTGGCGAGATATTGGTTGGTCGGTAAATCGATGAGGATCTTCAGGTTGGGTTTGCAAGTCTGCGTAGTGGCTAAATTAGACTATATACTGTAGTTTTGAAAACTGGCGTGTTTAATTCATGAATTTTTTGTTGCGGGTGGCTTCGGGATATGCATCAGAAACTGTCCAGCGGGTTTAAAGTGTCTATGACGCTACCTGACTGGGAAGACCTGACAGAGGGGTCAGATGATCGTCAGGTACTGGATTGTCATTCAATGAGTCGTGTACACCAATCACATCGCTCCAGCGTGAGCACGTTGGACTGTTCAGATATCAAAATTCAGATGCGTCCAAGGTACGTTGGTGAGGTTGTGGTAACACGCTCGCCTCGCATGTCAGATGTCCGGAGTTCAAACCCCGGTATGGCTACTGGATATGCCCTGCTGATTCGCCATAATAAAAGCAAAACTCGAGTCCATTGCTCCCATTTGGGTGGACTCATCAGAATAAATTATAAGTTTAACCTGATCTGTGTTAGCCCCCGAAAATCCAACCAATGTTTGATTAAAATGAATCTCATATCAATATAAAGACAGAGAAATATGAATGTCGAGTTCCGCAATTGCATGCGCGCACAAGAATGACACGGCCAACGTGTGCAAAATTGTGAAACAGTTGTCTGTCAGCTGCTCAATAATGGGCCTATTTTACAAAAAAGACAAAGTTTTGTGAGCGCTTCACTCTATACTATGAAATAATCAAGTGATTCACATGGAGAGACGGTTATGAGTAATAAGTTGCTGTCGTCCCAGTATAAAAGCGTTGAAGTCTGAGCAAAAGACAAGCAAATATCACGCAGGAAAATATCTTAAAAATGGTTCTAAGTTGTTTATGTTGAAAATGAACGAAATTTTGCCCAGTAGGTGCAAAAGCTCTTCTTTCTGTGATGTAAGCGACAGCAGCTCTGACGAGAAAGAAGAAAACGGCGAGATGAGTCACCTGTGAATTTTCAGGAATACGCAAAGCAAAAACCAAACCACATAGAGAAAACGTCTTCGCCGGTTCAACACAATGAACGTGTTCAACTGCAGGTGTACTACCTAGATTTTTTTACGCGCGCACGATTGTGCCACATTTGAAGTGAACCTCTAAATTCTCAGTAAATGTGTAACTGAACGGTGGAATAGCGATAACTTATAAATACAGTTCATTGACAACATACCTTGTTGGCAAAGATCCCACATGTTTCATAGCCTTACATGTGAAAGTGCGCAGAGAAATCAAATCCGAAATTGCTACAAACCGTGACTGGTGACACAAGATTAAGCTTTGTGTGCTTTTGTGGAGTAAAAGACATTAGTTGGAGAACGTCAGGCTAATTTCAACTGCGCAAAATATGGAAAAAATTTAATTAGTTGTCAAAAGGATGGCAGAATTGAATATGACAAGTCCAACGGAGCCTTAAGTCTTATGGAATAGTTTGGAAAGAATGAAGAAGGTAGCAAACTCTAAAGTACCTGATTAACAGAACACACTGCTTAAATCAGTCAGATCAACCAATAGGTCGTTCGGTCACTACATTTCACACTGGATCGTAAGTTCTCGTTTGCCTGGCACTAAGAAAGTTCATAGCCTTACATGTGAAAGTGCGCAGAGAAATCAAATCCGAAATTGCTACAAACCGTGACTGGTGACACAAGATTAAGCTTTGTGTGCTTTTGTGGAGTAAAAGACATTAGTTGGAGAACGTCAGGCTAATTTCAACTGCGCAAAATATGGAAAAAATTTAATTAGTTGTCAAAAGGATGGCAGAATTGAATATGACAAGTCCAACGGAGCCTTAAGTCTTATGGAATAGTTTGGAAAGAATGAAGAAGGTAGCAAACTCTAAAGTACCTGATTAACAGAACACACTGCTTAAATCAGTCAGATCAACCAATAGGTCGTTCGGTCACTACATTTCACACTGGATCGTAAGTTCTCGTTTGCCTGGCACCTAAGAAAGTTTAAAAAATCGAAAAACCATTTCTAATGGTGCATACAAATTTTCGAAGAAAGTTTCACCGGAACTCGAAGTGTCCTAGCACCATAAGAAGATTAGATCGATTATCAAGTTTCATTTGTCCAAGTCTTCTTCCGCAGTCGTGGTCCAAAACCGAAGCAAAACTGTACACAATGATCGAAACTAAATACCCAAAACCTCACTGATTCAAGCCTTATGGTTTTCAAAGAGTTGTTCGCTACTTACCCTCTTTGAAACAGTTGTGGGTTTTTCTATCCCCTGAACTAACCTTTCTTCTATCATTTACGTTACAACTATGTAGCATCGGTGGCTATAAAATCTAAGACAGAATGTTGATACATCACGACCCATGTCTTATGTCTACCTCCATTAGATGAGTTAAGATGGTGAACCGCTTAACACCTAGTTGTTTGGAGCTCTCTATAAGAATAGCGGAAGTTCCTTCTTAGTGTCAACTGATAACGAAAAGCTAGACTATTCACGAGTTTACTTTTAGTTCTCTGTTATCAGCACGGTACGGATGACAAAATATCAAAAGTTGACAGCAATAGAAACCAGTTTGGTGCAACCTGAAAACATTGTGATTGACGGCGACAAGCCAGTTCGTAGATAACAAGCTGGGCTTCAACCTGGATTTATTTTAGCATTGAAGTCTCGTACATGCTGACCTGGAACGCCTAGGGTACAAAGCGCCCAAGAAATAGATATCACTGTAGTGTGTTTATGTTATATTCGCTGAGATACAAGCACATTGCTTACCCCACAAAAGTAAGCCAATGAAGTTCACATGTGATTCATCACAAATCTAGCAATGAATCAGTGAACCAGCTGGTGAGACACCTGTTCAGTAAACAGAACACCACATTTTGTTCTCGTTCACATTAGCTGACCGTATGTCTTTACTTTTCTGTAGTTTATTATTTTTCGGCGAGTTCAACGTTGACAACACGTGGCACGTCAATAAGACTCAAACACTGTCCACGGGAGGTGCCGGTAGTCAATGACTGAGTCGTAATGTTGATATGAACGGGATCTTGCTTCTAGTTTCGCTTGTATCAGTGACTTGGAGCCACGCCTGCTAAGTAAGCCCCTGTCAAAAGAGATTTTCGGCCTCGGGGAGGTATCACCTTAAAATAGTTACGTCTCTACCACTCGCGGCTCATTGAAAAAACTTATTACAGCTGTTGTTCATGACAATACGTACATATGAGTAGCACATTGCCGGTTGTAGTAAGCAACAAGCAATATATTAACCAATAGTTACTAGGTATCTAAGTATGACAACTGAGATTCAGGTACTCGAAACGGATCGGCCAATTAGTAGTGGAAGTTTTCGGAGCTATTCCCTTAAAGTCAACTAGCTTTTCGGTTCTTTATGTTAGCACTTCATGTATGTGGTGCACTACTTAGTAAACGTTCATGAGGTAAGATGTCTGCAAAATCTGGCTCAAATTTTAGACATAAAAGTGTGATCTGTGCAAAGAAGATTTTTTTGGATGTGTACTACGTATTTTTCGAAATGCCAGGCCAGATAGCGGTTCAGACTCAACTGTGAACACAAGCCTAGAAAAGTTGACGCTGTGTTGAACCTAACTTAGCTTGTAGATTTTAATCAGGTACTTTCGATGTTCTTTATTTTCTTTCTAACCTAACCATTATAGTGTCGGGAAGTTTCACAAATATCATATTGTAGTGGTCACAAAAAATCTCACGTGCGTCACTGACTGTGTCTGCTCACGAGGGTTGTTGACTAAGCGTACTCACATGGCTCTACATGATGCGATTCGCATAAATATTTGTTCCAGTCCGTCAAAACCAGACATTAGTTCACGTGAGTCATGACTGTGGAAACACCGTCTATTGCAAATATGTGAAGGAGCAATTTATCTCCAGATAACATTCTGACAAAATACGCCGCGTGAACAATCGCTTTTTGCGTGAAAACGGCTGCGAAACACCAATTAATTTATCCTGACCTTATTGTAGGCATTATATGTAAGCAAAACTTAAAGTACTTTGAAACTCTAAGAGGAAACAATTCAAGATATGCGAAACGTTAGCACAGGAAAGGTGAACCATGACAACATGAATAGAAGTTTGATAATCCTACCGTAAAGTTGTTTATCGACAACCCTTCAAGGTTTTTCTGGTGCACAGAGTACCCAAATGATTTGGTCGGCGCTTAAAAATTTTATGGGAAACCTACCGTTACCGGTATCTCATCCGAGAGCTTCGATTATTCATATGGGTACGTAAATGCTGGATTGCCGGCGGGTTGACAAACGAGAGCTGCAGGTGTTTTGCGTCTGCCTGTCTCCTCAGGCAAACTAGCAAGTAACTTTGCGTTCTTGGTAGTGTGGTAGATTTTGAAATTTTAATGGGGGTGGAGCCTTGTCAAGTTAAAAATCGAAAAGTACTGTGCAGCAG